TGCAGGTGGTCGAACTGGGTTGCGAACTCCTCAATTGAAAGATCCCTGCAAGTTGTGGAGCTTTAGGAACTTGTCTTGGCGATACTGCAGTGTGAGGTATTTTTTCTGTATTGTTTTCATATTCTCGCACATTGCTATCTTCTCACTTCCTTTTATTCTCCTTTAATTTTGGAAATTTTCCCACCATAAGGAGGGAGTCTCCTTTAATTTAATCACAACCAGCTTGATTCGCTTGTCCTCTGGTACATCTTTATATTCAAAAATTTGTTTGACTGATTGCAACAAGTCGTGAAACTCATCGAGGTCCTTGTTCCCTCAAATTCTAGGGGGTCCATCTTGATGCCAAAGTTCTACTGGCCTCCATAAGAGGCCTCTTTTCTCTGCCTCCTTTAATGTTGGATACCAAAATGACGTGGTCGATATTGCTCTTCACTGTGATCTTCCCTGTGGAACATATTCAACTCCTCGTCCCTGTCTTTCCTTCGACGCTCTAGATCATGGTCGAAGGTAATCTCTTCCTGGTTTCCATCATCCAACTTTGCTAGTCTTCGTTGCAGACGACAGATTTCTCGTTGAATCTCGTCCTGGGTCGAGTATGGTGTATCTCTCAGTGGTGGCATGATTAGGGTTGGGAATTAAAAGGAAAAAATAATTTATGGGGATGTGGCTTAGGTATGGGTGGATGCTAGGAAACTCTAGGATGAGACTAGGGTGGGAGGCTAGCTCTGATACCAATGATATCTAAATTATTTAAGATTTAGCTGAATACAAAAACAAAATTTTATTAATATAGAAATAGAGTTACAACACAACTCAATCGAAAAAAAAATATAATAATAGACTAATCTTCGATTAGGGCTGGAGGAAGAGATCCGAAAGCGATGGTATTGTCAGGGAAAGGTGGGGAAGGCCGGGTGGCTGTCTGGCAGTTTGGAATGGTGTTTGATGGGTTGTAGGTGAGCTGGATAGCATGGTTCCTGCAGGAAAGGTGTGGCGGGATGTGGGTAGATGACTTGGAGGCCTGGGCAATCGAGGTGGTTGTGGGGAGGAGTACGAGTGTTGAAATGAGGGGACTGCATGGCTCGACAACAAGTTGTGGTGATAGTAGAGGTGGCAGCAAAATGGTGGAGGGAGATGGGGGTGGCCATGACTAGGGAAGAGGTAGGAGAAGGGTCAAGAAGAAGATAAGAGGAGATTGGAAGGATATAACACCATCTCAGATCAGGATACAACCGAAGCACCACCTGTAGTCAGATACAATCCTAGAAAGAGGGAAAATGACTCAACATAGAAAATTTGAAAGCAAATATAGCCCAAACTTGAACACTATAATAAGAAAATAACAATTTATAGACTCTCGTTGATCAAAAAAAAGGAAAGAAATAAAGAAGGAAACTCCCACACAAAAGGAAGGGGTGAGGAGGCAAGAAAATTTTAGAAAATAGCCATCAAAATACTTCCCATATGAAGAAGAGCACGGGATGAGTAGGAGCGGCAGTAGTCCCGCTCTGTGTAGAAGAGGCGAGAAACTCTCGCACGGTTTCCTGGACTGGTTAACAGTGGGAGTATCATTACCAGTCGACATAACCGACTGGCATTTGTGGCGCTCACGTAAATAAGCAAGTGCGTTTGTGACTCCCTCGTATTTGAGCGGGCGCTTGTAGCGCCTGCGTTAATAACTTTCAGGTGTTTCCATATGCAATTTTAGGCTTTATTCCACCGATGTCTATGTTGTTTTAAGGACTCATTATCAACTAGAAACACCTTTCGATAAATTGACCCGTGTGGTGTGGGTGTGGGTGTGGGGGTGGAGGGTTCTATGATTTCATTAAAGTGTAAGAATCTACACATCTTGCATGTATTTCATAGAAATAGTCACAATCTCTTATTTTTGACCTTGATCTTGCTTCCTTTTTCGTTTATAGCAATTTTTCATCATATGACCTAGCTTTCCACGGTGCTTTTGGGCAACTTCTAGTTTTATTTCTTTTATCATATATTTGTTGCTGCTTGTTTCACAATTGTAATCAGCCTTTGTTTCGATGATTGGTTTTGTTTTGAGGCTTGCTATGTTATTAACTTTTAGATCAAAGGATGGAGTATTTCACTTGACTTGTGCTATTAGATATCTTTAGCTTATTTGATGATCACTGACTATGAACATTATATGAACCAAAACAAATTTTTATAGAAATTAAGACAAACAAATATTTTTATGATTAACACAAAACAACACAACACAAATATATAAAAGATAAGCACCTACAATTCGAGAGGTAGACTATCCGTTCCCATCATTTTTCCTAAATCGCTTTCGTCGGGAAGGCTATTGCAACAAAATTCACTGGTGCTAGTGGATGCAACCCTCTGCCAGTGTCCAACCAACAGTGGTTTCTTGTTTCAATCCAAAATTCTTCAAATCGATTTTTTTAGCCTCAAATTGCATTCCATACTGTTCTGCCTGTTGTCACTCGTTCAAATCCTCTAGATGTTTTGAAATTCTCACCAGATGCCGTCGCTTGAATATGCTCCTGACGCTTTCACTCGATCCTGCCTTTTTCCTATTTGTTTGAGCCTTCCGAATGTCGCGATATTTATTTCAACTATTGTCGCTCACATCCTTGAATATGCAAAATTCAGGCTTTAGACCTCTGATAACAATTTTGTGTGAAATTCCACGATCTAGGGTCATGAATTTCCCCCCATCCTCCTCTCTCTAGACGAGACCCGTCCCTCCATGGAAGAGAAACACTCCATTTTAAATCTAATTTGGCTCACCTCTACCTCTTATTTCTTATCCAAAGCCTCTAATTTTTTGGCTAACATTACTCCCAGAACGATTTTCGATCATAGAAGCAGTTCTACTTTTTGTTGTGATCTCGTCGTTGCTCAAATCTCAAATGTACCCGGAGGTCGAAAGTTGCAATCCTGTTCCTTGCTTCTCAAGTCACTGAAATCTCGATTGTGTTGTGACTAAGGCAAGCCCGATTCCACCCTTGCTTCCCTGTATTTGCAATATCCCTTCGGCCAACACAACTAGCTCCAATTGCGATTGCATCGCAAGATTCACCTGTACGCCCGAACTACAATAATCACGATTGTATCGCAAGGTCCAAGTTACATTGTTTGTTGCGATCCTGTTGTTGCATCCTAGCTAGTGCAAATTGCAACCATATTGTGGGGTTTGGTCACGATGGACGCTGTACGTTGTATGCCTCGATCCCAATTTGGAGGTTTCCCAACTCGTGATTCCATAGATATGTATGCAACGATCTTATTGTAGGCTTTCTTGCTCGTTGGAATCGTGACTGTTTCACAAGGTCAGGTCACATTGTGATTTCGTTGGCTTCACAACTAGCTCAAATTGCAAAAATTCTGTGGAATGTCGTGATCCTGTCTTTGCTTTACATAATCAGATGCTATGATGTCAATTTGATACGAATTAAGAAGAATTTCCACAGAAATTAGGGCAAGCATATATTTTCTTCAATAACACAAAACAACAGAATAAGAATACATAAAAGATAAGAACTTATAATTCAAGAGGTAGGCAATCTCTTTCAAACCCTAACCCTAATACCTACAATTCGAGAGGTAGGTGATTTCTCCCAACTTATCTTAAGACTCAAGTTAATAATCTCATCATATCCCTAATCCTAAACATATTGGCCGTATTTATAACCACAATAATAAATAACAAAAGACTAACTTGCGGCTGGTCTCACAGAACACTACTCTGTTTCAGCTTTTATGCTGAGACAAAAGCAGAAAACGCTCTTGAGGACAAAGTTCATTAGAAGTGATTTTAACTAGTTAGATTGGCTAGTAAACAAATTGAATTTATTGATCTGTTCCACAATACAGGCTCCTTCAGACATTCTAAGATTATAAAATTTTTACATAAGATGTCCTTGTTGAGTATATAACTTTTACTACATGCTAGGTGATACCTTGATTTTGCCTATAGTACATTTTCATGAAAAAGCTTTAAGGCAACATTCATTGCTAAAGGCAATCAGATAACTCCTAGTGCTTTTTTGCCCATTAGTTTTCCATTTTTATTGATTAACTCATGTTGGTTTTGCTTCCAACAACGGTTGATGTTGCTTTATTTGATAAATTTAGCCTTCAATATGAATCTTCTCAAAGACAGTCTCAACTGTCGATCTTGAATTTTTTGTCATTAATTGCTAGGTCTTTATATGGCTTAACCAAGCTATGATACCGGTTGTTAGAGAATGAACCAAGTTGATAATCTAATGGGTAAACCTACTAAAAAACTTAAGCTTATGGTTGGTATCTAAACATTTAGTTTCTTTACGCACATTCTTTTCAATAATTTGACTTGTGAGTAATCTTAGTACTCTTATGTGCCTTAACAAGGAGAGCTAATCTATCAGATTTTGTGCTCAAATATTATAATCGATTTTAACGAAAGGATTTCATTTTGAGCCTAAAAAGCTGTTTAATTCAAACTAGTACACGGGTTTTTTCTAAAAGTAATGACATAAAATAGAAAAACTTCACAATACAATTATTCTCCATAAGCTATTTTTGATAGATTTATCTTAACGTATTGAACAATTCTATTTCATGTGGGTATTTATCTTCATCGGCCTTGATTTATATATTACGATCAATTTTGACAAAAGATCTCAGTTTTTGGCCAAACTATCATATAATGACTCTGACCAATAATTCAAACTTCCGCATAAAATCTCCTTACTAAGAATAATTGCTTGAAAAGAAAATGTGTACAAGGCAACCATCACCCTTCTTTTGGTATAGATTTGCCTCCATCGTTCATTTGTTATGGATTTATTTTCAAGCGTTGAACTACTCTGTTGGATATGAGTTTTAAGCTAAGTAATCTTTAAGGGGCCTTGATTGGTTATCACACTTTTTTGTTATTGATCTTGAATGCTTCACTTTTTTTTGCTGACTCCACGCAATCCGTTTTTATCAGAATCTAAGTTATTATAATTTCCTTTATATGACAGATGGGGTTGCGTGTTACATGGGATGTTAAACTATATGGTAAATTGTTGAAGATTGGTGGTGGCAAGGAAAGGTAAAATCTCATTTTTTTACTATTGAGTTGAGTTTTTATTTGCCATACAAGCTTTCTGATTATTGTTAGCAAATTCAAGACTAGACTTTATTAATTGTTTTTCTAATAAAAAGGTATCACATCTTCTAAAAAACCGATGGCTCTTTTTCTATTAGCTGCATCGGCTGCTTAAGATAACTTGTATAAATCATGGAGTTGATTTTTTTCTTAGATAAATACAAATAAATTATCTTGGTGGATAAGCATTAAATTTTAACATTTATGAAGAGCATATTTGAGCTCAACTTGAGCTTGATTCGAGCTTTTAAGACAATGTTTGAGCTTGAGCTTGTTTATAAATATTCTGGTTGAGCTCGACTCGAGCTCGATTCGAGGTTAGTTCATATAGGAATTATTCGAGTTTAGTTCATCAGGGAACTGCTCATTGAACAAAATAAATGAACCATAATCGAATTTTTATTAAGTTTTACTCAAATTTTATATCAACAACTTGTTTGGAAAAATAACTGAACCGTATTAAAATATGCATGTTGAGCTTAAAAATAAATATGTAAATGATAGTGTTCATGAACAAGCTGTAATTGAGAGCTTATTCACGAGCTTTAAATGATGTTATTCATGAATATAATTGAATATTTATAAAAGTGTTCAAGTTCATTCTATTAGTTAATCAAATAATTATGAACGTGCTTTAATGTAACGAAGTCACAAGCAACTTGTGGAAAGCTTGGTTCATTTGAATCTCTACCTTTAATTGCTACGAAGGCTGAGCTTTATACCAGCATTGCAAAAGTCATTGAACTAATCTTTAGAACTTCCTTAAATTTATGCATGATCTTATTTAAATGGTATTTTTTCTGCTTTTGAGCAACATAATATGATAATTGCTCTATGTAAATAGCTTCAACGTGATTGCCATAAATGAATGCATTATTGATATCCATTTGAAGTAAAGTCTAGTCTTGATTGATGGTGATTGACAAAAGAATTCAGACAAAGTCGAGTCCAACAAATGAGGGAATGTGTTAAAATAGTTGCTCCTATTGATTTGAGTAGTCCTTTTGGCTACAAGAGATCGCCACATACATATATGTGAGTGGAGAAAAAGGTGGCATATTGTAATTGGAGGAAGGGAACGCGGAGAGAAGAAAATATAGAAGAGGAATTATTTAAATAGTTAGCAAGTTGCATTTGTGAAGGCATAAATATGAGTGATGGAACCATAGCAATAATAAAGGAACAATAGTAGCGTAAAGAGATACATTGAATGTTTTGGGAAGAGGGTGTCATTAATATCGGATGAATGGACAAAGAAGTGGACAGAGAACTTCGTGGTTACTGTAACTGATTTTGCTTAGAATACAGGACAAAGTGAGTGATGACATTACTTGAAACTGTTGAGGGAAACCAAGTAATGAAATAGAAAGTAATTAACACATTATCACCTTAAAGGTAGCATTGAACTTTTATATGGAACATCTACATCTACTTATGTCTAGCAAGCTTATTGTATTGAGAGATTTAGGGACAAAAGGTTAAGTGAATGATTCCATTGTCAACATAAAATTATTTTAATTGAGATTGCATTAATTATAACACATTAGTTAGTAATTTCATGACATAAGTTGTGAAATACATATGGAACATCATAGCTACATTTTAATAAATAAATCTTGGTGCATGTGAATGATCATTGATAAAACAAATAAAATATTTTAAACCTAGATGATTAGGGACATTATCCCAATGAACTACTCAAAAGTGACGCTACTAGGACTTTATGTGGATGATGTGAATGAGTTTTAACGATGTTTGTCAAGCTCGTAATCATTAACTTAAAACTTAGAGAGGTATGATAAGGTAGGGAATAAACTTATGAAAATGTTGTGGTGGACGATAACCTGAATGACAAGTTGACAGTGCCATTGATATGGAGTGATGGTGGAAGAGAATGTAGATGAAGTTGTAGTATGGCTTCGTCGATCTCGCTCTCGCTCTACTAGGCTTCGCCTAAGGCGAACCCAGGTTTTTTTGCTCGACTGCATCTTCTCGTCGATCTAGCACTGTTTCGTCTTTCGTCTCTTTCGTCGCCTATTTCGCCGTCGTCGCCTTGCGTCCCATCGGCTCGTATTTCGTCGTTCCGAGAAGGCTTTAGCGGCTCATACTTCGTCGTCCCGAGAAGTCTTCGGGCTCGGGGGCGTTGTCTCAGCTGCCTCTCGCAGTCCTTCGTCTTTTGAAGGACGTATGGGTGCAATTCGGCCTTTCCTCGGGCTCAAAATAAAGATTTTGCATTTCGCATTTCCGCCCTTTGCTCTCCTTGGATGGCGTTACCGTTGATCCCTCTTTCGATATTTGCTCTTCCGTCCACTGTAACTTTGCCGTCCTATCGCCGCGCCTCTCTTTTGGTGATGGCTTTGGACAGATCGTATGTTGCTGCCCTTGTGGGTGTCTACGACTCAGGTACTCCTAAATCGTGCTATTTCCCTTCTTCGTTTGAGTTGGTGGAGGCATCAAGAAACCTGGTAGGAAGAACGAAATGCTAGCCATCTTTTTTACGGAAGCTTAATGTAATCAACTCACTTCCTCTTGTTGTCTGAATTTGGTCGGAAATTTCTATATGACCATACTAAAATGGAGCTTATTCGGAAGGAATTTGAGATTTTGCACCTTGTTGGGGAGCGAAAAATTGGATTTTTAGATGGAAAACACATTCTTATTCAACTTAATAATAAAGATGATTACACATGCTTATTTGCTAGAAGGTTAATGGATTGATGGCAGAGTTATGAAGATTTTGAAATGGTCGGTGAATTTTGACCCACATACGAAACCACCAATCATTCAGGTCTGGATTCGCCTCCCTGTCCTGAAAGTTTATTATTTTACTCAAAAAATGTTGTACTCTATTGCCTCAGTCTATGGTAAACCATTCAAAACGGACATTACTACTTTTAATCTTGCAGCCAGGGTACTTGTTGACAGGGATATCACTTCAATTGCTTATGAGGAAATTCAGTTAGGCATACAACACCATGGATATTGACAAAAGGTTGTGATCGAGTCTTTCCCTTAGTATTGCTCGAATTGTCGTATGTTCGGCCACTCCAGTTCTCAATGTCACCATCTACACCCCCATCTCAGACCAAAGAAGCAAAGTGCTCGGCCAGAGGCAGTGATTCCTCCTCTCCCTCCTGATCTGCTCCAAGTTATTGATACTATTGATCATCAGAAGTCAAGATGCAATTATCCTCTCAGGTAATATGTCAACCATTCAGCCTCCACACAATCATGAAGTAGGTTCTTCGTATATGGAACCTCCTTTCGTGGGGGCGGGGGAGATATTTCAGACCTCACATGCCCTAGAACCTATCGTTGATGTAACGGGTGAAAATATTTCTACTGAGTTTTTACCGCCTCATCAGGAAGAGCAAGTTATTACTGTTACTCAGGCACATGGGGCTCATGATGTGCATCAGCCTAACGCTTTCTGACCACCTTTGGACCAATCCACTGATCTGATGAGTCAATCATCAGATGAGGAATGAGTGGTTTATACTTCAAGAAAGTGGAAGAAGAATGAAGGCCTATTACCAAACTTGATGGATGATACATTAGTTATTTGGGTAATGACAGTAATAACAATTTGTTAGCTGACTCCCGACCTAGAACCAAAGATAGAGACAAGGCTAAATTGGATCTTTCACATGTTAAGTGAATCTGCAAGTGTTGGCAGACTGTTGGCTTACTTTTTTCTATGTTTACTTTTTAATCTTTTTTTTGGGTATACATGTATTTCTACGTGTGTGTTGTATGCCGGGTGGTTAGGGTGCCAATTTAAAGGCCCTGTCATCCAAACTATCTGCACCTTTCCTTTTATTAATATATTCGCCTTTGGGCTTTCTAAAAAAAAAGATAGTAGATTCCACTAATTTTAACATGTTCACCAACCATCTTCATAATATTTAGATTTTGAAATAGACAATGAGAATGATAAATGTTACAAAGCAATTTTTGATACAAATAAGACTGTACTATACATTGAAAGTAAATTTACAGAAAACTCGAGAACGTGTGTAATACATATGAGAGAGATGAACCACGGAAAGCAATACAAATTTTTTTCCAACCGCAAAAGGGAGGAGTGACCATAAACAATGAGGACATGTGGGAGAGAGGACATGTTAAAGGAGCAAAATAAGTGATGATTACTTGTCATATGTGAAGATACATCTGAATGTAGAATCTAGTTTGACTACAACTACCAATTGCAACATAACTATACGAGAAAATGGCATGGCAAGCATATGCGGATGTCTGGGAATGCTGAATGAGATTATCAAAATCCACTCGAGATAAAGTGACTTATCAGAAGTAGTGTTCGGGATGGAAGTGAGAAGAGCTAAATGCATACTATTTGGTGGAAGGATAACCAAACTTAGCCTAACATAATCTTCATAATATTGCATTTGGTGGGAAGTAATCTAGTCGCTTTTAAAAGCATAAGCAATATTGTGGCTATATTCGGTGCGAAGGCTGAATAAGTCAATTCATCATGTGGAATGATGTGGGAAAATACTCTTTAACTTGAGTTGATTTTCTTATTGTACACTTCTGGTACTATACTATTACAGTCGTTCTTCCATCTACATTATCGGCAATGTTGTGTTCCATAAAATAATCAAACATCATAATAGATTGTAGTTTCATTTTGGATAGCCTGCTATCAAACACGGTGTCATGCCTCATGTCTTTAGTTTAGAACAAGTGATTAGAATTTTTAAAGTTATGGGCTCTCTATGTTTCTCATGATAATGTAATTAGCCAGAGTTTTTTGATATATTTGTTCTTGATTGGAGGGTTAAGTTTGGAAATATTAAATCAGGAAATTAGTCTATTATTACTTTATCATGTATGTTTATTTGTTCATGCCTAGACAAATTACTTTCATCTCTCTATTTTTATATTGAGTGATTTCTCTTCTAACAATCTATATTTTCTTAACTTGGGGTGATAATTGAAAGTTGTTGATCATACTTATTTTACTTCAATCAACAGTTCAGATGCGGTGGAAATTGAACTTTTATGTACAAAAGCTTCTGGAGTGGCAATGTCTAGTTCTTTAGTAGTAACATATTTTAACTCCGATAAACTGCAGCTCTTGTTCTATGCTAATATTGGTTTAACTTATTAAAATAAATGAACTTGATTCCATATAAGAGCTGTATTTCTTGCTTGGGGTGTAAGGTGAAGGTGTTAGTGATAGGTTTTTTATTTCTTATTTTATTGTGAAGCTGATACTTATTATTCTTCTTTGAACTATAGAATGACTGCTTACTTTAACCAGACCGGTTGGCCAGAAAAAGCACCAAAAACTGAGGAGGAAAGAATAGCATTTGTAGCTTCTCTTCACAAACGGAAGACAGAGCTGTTTATGGCCCTTATTGAGAAGAAGCTACTTCCCCTGAGACCTGGCGTTGAAAGGTTGTCTATTATCTGTCTGTCTGTGAGATAATTCTTTTTGAAGGGAAGCCATTCAAAATATTCTAATTGTCTTTTCTTATTGTTTATCATTTTTCCTTTTTCCAAAATAGCAGAAAATTTCAGATTTGTTTCTTCTTGATGGAAATATTTTGTATTTCTAAATTGCATCTCATTTTGGTCGGGGTTCCATGCTTCTCTTGCTAGTATAAGTATCAAAAGGTTGATGGTCTCCTTATGTTAGTTGCCACTGTGTATTGTATCTAAGGGTCCTAAATACAGCGATCAATGTACATGACAATTTGTAACATTAAGCCTCTTGATAATTCCGTTGTTCTAGAGTATAGTTAGAGTAATGTCATATTGTCGGTCAACTTTTCGATTGATTTGAAAATATGAATATGAAAATAATTTTTAAAATTTAATTTAAGTATAAAAGATATATAGTTTGAGTTTTAAAATTAGTATGCTTTAATTTTTGAAAAATGAGACCAAGTGGATCTCATTCGTCAAATAATTTGCATAATCGTGTCTGATACCGCGAATACTACACCCTCCCGAAAGATAAGTGTAGACCTCGACGATAGACCCAATTCTGCAAACTAAGAGATTTGCGACATCCATTTAGTCTGCGAACTTTTTATATATGACCGACAAATTTTCCTATTTAATACAAAGATTAAATAGGGTTTATTTTACCTGGGTTCCAAGTTCCCTATAGAGGCAAACCCCTATAGTTAATTACATCCCAAATGACGGGAGTCACTTGGGAAAACTCTCGATAACGATCAATGGTTCTAGTCTTCAAGAATTCAAAGTTCAGGTTTTCAACATAGGATGAGGAAAATCAAGTGGGAATGACTGAATGCGGAACACTTATTTTCAGGAGTTCAAAGGAAGGAACAGGTAGGGGGAAGGAACAGGTAGGGGACGCCATAGGTCCTGAGGAGAAACCTCAGTGACATCCCGGACTATCCTACGGTGTGGCTATATTTTTTTTTGAGACGATGTTAATTAATTGTTTGATCCTGCCAGTTTTATTATTTGGGACTTACACTTGATTATGCAAATAGCCCACAGAAATATGAGGGTTTACATCGTACCGTACGACAACCTCGGAACCTAAGTCGAGTTAGGACTCATGTCGCACAACATGGTTGTACAAGAGCCTAAAAAGGTAGTGTGAGGATTTACGTCGCGCTAGGCGAGCTACCTCGAAGTCCTATGAATTGTTATTATACTAGGAATGGATAATACTGAAGAACATCCTCTTATTGTTCGCTCCAAGCTCCTCGTCGTGCTGCCCACAAAGTTGGCTCCAAGCTTCTGTTGTCGTGACAGCTCCAGGGTTTAGATGTTTGAAAATTGTAGTTTATGTTTCACAGTTTTGGTGTCAAAGTTTGGCTTTACATGCAGAATGAGTAGATTGCAGGTAAATAAAAAAAGTACTTGAAAGGTAAAATACTGTAAAGTAAAATGCTGTGACTAAACTATAAAAACGTACCTGGGCATCTGCTACTGTTGTGTTATTAGTGTTGCGAGCGTAGTGTGATTTGCTAGTGTGATTTGCAGCGCGAGCGTAGTGTGATTTGCAGCATTATTTAAACATACTTGCAAGAAAAATAAATAAAACAAGAAAATTCAGCATGAAATTCATAAAAACGAGTAGTGGAAATCACAAGCAAAAGAAACCTATAATCACATGAAAGATAGAACTGAGTATAATACATTTGTGAAAGTGGGGCTCAAAGCTGGGCTGTGTGTGCTCCCAGCAAATGATTGTGGAGGGTGGAAGAATTTTGCTTCTCGACAATCTACAGGAGGTAGTTCTTAACCTTAATCCAAGTGACTAGCCGTTGACCTTTATAAATTTTCATAGAAAGGTTTTCATGCAAAAGTTGTTCAAGTCTTTTTTTTTTGTCTTTTTTTTTTATGTACATGTAAAAGAAATTTTTATTTTATTTTTGTAAATATTTTGTAAAGTGGTACGGTCCACAGGCTAGTCACTCAGTCCACAGGCTAGTCACTCTAATCATGCTAGAGCTACTGACAACCTAAGAGTGTCGGGGCAACGATCTCACCAAGAATCGGGGAATAGTATCATGGGTCTTTCCTTCTCCCTTATTGAAGATCCTTGAGGTAGGAGATACTATTCTAATAATCTCACTTCGTATATCTCGTTTAAGCACACGTAAGCAATGTCATCATCGCCCTCGCCACCTAGACCCTAGACTTATCATAATCCGATGATCCATATGCGGCGTTAAGAAATTTCCTCAATTGTCAGAAGGATTTGAGTGTAGTATCTAAGCTCAAATCCCGATGCACTGGGTTTTATTGTAGGTTAAGTCATTATGAGAATTTCATTGTTGATTTAATTAAGGAAGCATGGACTACGACTCGGTACATCCTGGTGTCTAGTGTCTTGATCAGTTTGTGAATCAGGGTCAAGTGCCAAGTTTCATTGTGCATTTAAGGATTAGGTGAATGAACTCTTACCTAAGGTATGCTCCTAAAACCTTGGGATGTTATGCTGAGAATTAGGTTGATGGGCTCTCACCTAGGGTGTGCTCCTAATAACTAGGAAGTCTATGCTGAGAACTAGGTGGATGGGCTCTCACCTAGGGTGTGTACCTAAAGTCTAGGAGGCCTACACTGAGGATTAGGTGGATGGGCTCTCACCTAGGATGTGCTTCTAAAGTGTACGAAGCCTAAACCGAGGACTAGGTGGATGGGCTCTCACCTAGGGTGTGCTTCTAAAGTGTAGGAAGCCTAAACCGACGACTAGGTGGATAGACTCTCACATATGGTGTGCACCTAAAGTCTAGGAAGCCTACACTGAGGGTTAAGTGTATTGACTCACCTATGGTGTGCACTTAAAGTTCTAGGAAACCTACACTTTAACTTATGCATAAGGTGATTTGAGGTTTTCTATATCTTCTAATTAATTAAATCATCAATCCACATCTTTATGACTTAACAATGTAACAAAAATAACAGAAACACACGAAAAGAGAAGGTTAACCCACAATGACACTAAAAAAAAACTCCGATGACCCGAAAAAAAAACTCCGAACAATGGGCAATCAGTCAAGAAATCAGTCCAAAATCGACACCTGAAATGACTCCAAAAAAAAACGGTGACAGGATCGAGCAGGGGCAACCAAATGATGGGTTTAATACCCCCGAAACAGTAGGTAGACCAGCCCTTAAGAAATTATGTTTAAACCATCCACAAACAATGTATAGTATGCAGCGGAAGAATTCCTTTGTCACACATGCAAGTATTTAAGTTCCAAATTTAGGGCATATAAACTCATAAGAACTGGACGCTGTATATGTATGCAAGTGGAAACCTTGTGTTAAGCAAGTAAATGCATCAAAATCTTGTGGCATGTAAGAACTGAAGAGGATAAATATGCTAACTCTAGCAAATTGATAATGGAAACCAGTAATGTCAACCACATCAAAGAAGACTCTTCACATCACCTTTACTATCACGGGTTAAATGCATTCATGCTCACTTCCAGTTGCCAAAGAAGAGTTGAAGTATGAATTCATCCAAAATAGCATGTTCACAATTATTGAATCATCTTAACCAATAAATTGATCAAAATTGAAATGATAGAAGCTATGAAGCATGAGGATAAATATCTGTACCCCCAACAATACAATTGGAAAAAAAAAAAAACATTTGCCTAAACAGAGCAGTTCATAACTTAGACGTTATCTAGACAATATGACATAATCAAATTGAACTAGGCTTCGTCCAATGCAAGACACAGTTAGTTTTGGAAAAATAATAACAAATAATTTAAGGTGTGGAGGCATAATTCTCTTTAACCATATTCCTAGAGGTATGAATGTCAACATGTTGAAAGCAACAGGAAACAAGAATCCATGCAAGAAGACAGTTGTATAAATCCGAGTAAACCATCCCACAAATGACACAAGGTAAAGCAATTAACATTCGCAGCGCCGTTAATGAGTTAACTTAATTAATAATAAAAAAAAAATTAAAGCTTGGCGCTAACAAAATAATTACTGAAAATGAAATGTCTTGTGTTTCATGCTCCTCATCAATAATCATATATAGATAACCTCATAGGGTAAGAGATTGATTCTTTTCTCACAATCAAATTCTTTTAAAAAAAATTAATTGGGTGAATTTTGAGATTTTACCTGCGCTAGAAGCCTCTGTTTATCTTTTCAGCAGTTGGGGCGCTGCAACTTAAATTGGAGAAGGGGGAGCCAAGCTTCGGTGTTTCAGCTCGGAGGAGAGGCGAGCAGGTGAGTGCTTCGGTGTAGAGAAAGGAGTCGGGCGAGAGGAAGAAGAGACGAATGCTTTCAGTGCAGAGACGGGGTCGAACCGAAGAATGATGCTTCGGTGCATGAGGGAGGAGTCGAGGAAAGATCTCTGTGCCGAGGTGAAGAGGCGAAGTCGAGCGAGTCGAAGCAGGTGACTGAGAAAGAAGGAGTCAATAGTCTCGATGCAGAGAAGATCAAAGCAGGAGAGCGGAGTTTCTTTTGCGCGAAGAGGAGGGAGGCGGGATCGAGCAGGCGAGTGCGGGAGAGTTGGGTTCCTTCGTCGCAGGGAGGAGGCGAGCCGACGAGTGTGGCTTCGGGGGATTTTTTCTGCGTGGGGGGGGGCG